AAATCAATATTTATTCACTTCTTCTTTGAAGAATACAACAAACTTTTCTGTAAAATATAAGGTACTGTAAATGCAAGGAATTAATAATGTAAATTGAATGAACAAGTGAAAGGAAGAAGATAATTCATTTTGCACTATACCGTACCTTGAGGAAAAACGTGGTAAAATCTAAGGATGTTTACCACTTGGACTCATGGCTCAGGTAATAGAGTATTCAAAAGGTAATCGGAAGGTTTTGGGTTTTTCTCAAATATTTATTATTATTTTATCTTATACATATAATATAAGATAAAAAGGACGGCACTTTATCATTTTATCTCATATATATATAATATAAGATAAAAAAGGACTGCACTTTATAACCCAAAGGAAGAGGCGCATTATAAATGCCCATATCAGTAGCAGTACCAGTATATTGTATTTGAATAGACTGCCAGAGATCTATAGGATACGTCCTCTTTGTGAATTTATTTTCAGCGTATCAGTACTCCCTCTGCCTTCAACGAAAAGTTGAAGGAATAAAGGGATATGCTGGAAGTTCTATGATTGGTACGATAATAGCTTCTTATGATTCTATCTGAGCACTGTTATTATTTGTTTATATTGTGTTTACGGTGCTACGCAGCAACACCAAATTTGAATATTATTTACTATACAAACTTATTTTGTATATTTTTATAATATATATAATATATCTCGCACTACATATAATTATTTTAGCACTAATATCGCATGTGACTGCCAAGGATATATGGGTTCGCCCCATTCTAAGAATTATTTTCAGTCTATGCAGGCTAAGATCTTCTTTCTTTGTTCGTTTCCTCTTCTGTCACACTTCAGTTATTATTCGTCTTGTTTTTTTTTGTTTTTTTTCCTCAATATACCTTAAAAATCACATATTATATATATACAAGTATCTCATGAGATTCAGGAAGCTGAAAATAATGCGAGAATTGGGTGTTTAAAACTTACATATCACTGGCAGGCTAGTCATATACTTAGTGCTATATCAAAATTGACATTAGACATGTTAAAAGTCAAATTATTCTGACGGTTGGATAACCACAACGCTTACACAGAGTAAATTCAAATAGTGCATAGGCTATAAATTAATGAAAAGACTTGTGTATTTCAGAAGAAGAAAAAAGAAAGAAATTGAAGTGGAATGTTGATCAAATAAGTAAGTTTACATTTATGTTTACATGATAATGATAGAATATAGTAAAATTATATTTTTGGCTATGTTATTATCATTTTGTTTTTATTATTTTTGTTATTCCTCCTGCGGCCTTTCACAATGTTGTGACTGTCATGTTTAGATAATCATTCTATGTTTGTGAAACCCAGTAAGACAAATAAGTAATACTATATGCTGTAAAATGTAAAACCTCGAATAGGAGCCCTGTTCGCTTTAGGACCCTTGAATGGGCTTATTTTCGGGATAGGCTTCTTATCGAGATGTTTTTTTGTTGTTTTTTTGTTGTTTTTTTTTTTTTAGATTACTTTTGCAAACTAAAGAGGGGGATTGTTTTCAAAATTAATGATGTAAATATTTGGAATTGGTACAAAAACGGTACAAATTAAATGAATGCACGAAATCCTGTTGACAAAACCCAGTATACCTTTTCGGTTTTAAGCGTGCAGGAATTTAGTCTTAATAGCGTCTTTCACATCTATTCAGGTTCCAGTTCAGGTTCCGTTTTCAGTTCAGGTTCCTCTTCCTGTTTTTGTCGATTTTTTTCAAATCTACTGCGTTTCCTCCCGTTCCGGTTGACTGGCATCACGCTGACGTCACGCGTTAGGACGAACTTGCGTCGCGAGTTGTATCGTATTGTTTATATTTTGAAAATCTTCTTTTAATATAATTTTTCGTACTATTATTCGTAAGTTACTTTAATTTTTAGTATCAATTACACATATTTTATATCAGTAGAATTTATTATAGTTCAAAATACAAAACAGTTTATATTAGGCTTTTGATTTAGGTGCACGGTACGTAAACCTAGGCCTACCGATCGCGAGTTTGTTGACCTGACCTCTGCCTTAGTAACCTACATAAATAGTCTAGTTTTTGGTTCCTTTTATGTTTTAGACAAATAATATGAATACCTGATGCGATACATAATGGTTGATTATGGTGCGGTATCGTATGGCACACTAGATAGGCCTATAATTAGTAAATTCATAATCATTTTAATTAAATTCATATTATAGTTATATTTAATGGCATGTTATTTTATATATAAATTTTCCTTGTCAGTGCATATGGAATAGTTAGGGTATGTTTTCTGCTTAACTTATTCTCAACAGAACAACAACAAAAATGGATTCAAGTAGCGATGAGGATGAACTAATTGTTAGTTTGTTACTTGGAAACCCGAAGGAAAAAAACAAGAAAAAGATCTGTGTAATTGTGTGAAGAATTCTGATTCGTCAGAAGTCTTCAGGTTTCGAATCCGGTAGAAAACAATCGCTCCAGGACCGACTCGTTCCGGTTGTCGGATGCCGGACCCGGCCACCCGATACCGGATCGGAGCAGATGTGAATATAATACATCTTCAGCGTTATAACAATAGAAGTTTGATTTCTAAACCGGTACCTGAACTGGAAACGGAACCTGAATAGATGTGAAAGGAGCATTAAGATATGTTCACATCAAGCCCGGATTCCGGTCCGGAGTCCGGAGAAAAAATCGTTACAAAAATGGCTTCAGTGTTAAAGAATAAAAACGTTCAAATCTACACAGTCCGATTTTTTCCGGATTCGGAGCAATAGATCAGAAAGCTATTAGTGTAGGCCACTATGTAATTTTGTGTCATTTTTTTTTTGTTAAAAGCAAAATTCCAGTTGATTTTGTGTCTTTAGGGTGTAAAGTGATAAAAAAATATGTTGCCATTTTTCTAAAACGGTTTAAGTGTGTCAAATTCAAGATGGCCGCCAATACGTAAAATATCTAATAAATTTAACATATTTGACAAAACAACTTCCCTTACGAATAATGTTTGAAGTCTAAATGATTGCCACACGGGTCTTAAAACATATAGACCTAGTTTTAAACCAAAATTCAACTGAGGTCGGCCATTTTTAAATCCAAAATGGCCGCCATTACAAAAATTAAATATAATTAAATTATTAACTTTGAGTGTGCCAATAATGTTAAATTTTCATGAACTAGATTGTAATCACGAAGATTAAGATATCAAAATATGATGTCATGACTAAAAAATCAAAATGGCGATCAAATACAAAATGACGACCAATGAAAAATGCTATTGTGCAAATAAAGTGGTTGGTATATTATCCGCCTGCAAGTGTTGGTGGAGAGTGTTCTCCTAAGTTACTGCAGCCATGATTGAAACAACCACATATCTCACACGGGAGCATTGCTACTGCAACTACAAAAAAAGTTTCCTTTACATTTAGACATCGCACTGGAACGAACCTGTCTTCTTCAGATCTCACTTCATCATAACAACCTGCGATCCCAACAAGCTTTTCAAGAAGTGAATCTGCAAAATCACTGTAATATCTCATTTAATCTGTTTCGGAGACAAAGTTTAAAAGTGCCATGCCATGTATAATCATAACTGTGTAGATAGTAATTGTTATTGTCGTGATGGAATAGACAATAACTGGATTTGTGTCAGGGGACACATGTATAGGTGTAATTTTGCCCTACCTGACGTGGAAATGTACTGAATACTCAGTACGTTTGAAAACAATTGCGAAAAAAAAAATCACAAGTTGTTCTCGGGTGGGACTCGAACCCACGATCTCCAGATAACTAGCCTGGCATCATACCTCTAGACCACCGAGCTTGCGCCTGATGGCCAGGGTTGGATATGGATCTGGAGGTTTGGTAGAGATGGTAGAGAGAAGCAGAATTATAGTATGGGCTAGTGACCTGTAGAGATGTGTTAAATTTAAGTTTTGTGTCACTGTTGTAGGTCGGTACAGCTTCCACCCAAGCCTGGTCAATTCCACTTGTCTCAACATATTTTCCCAATGCTGCCAATGCCCGAAAGACTACATGTAGCTCACTGGGGCAAAATAAGAACTGTTTTTTGATGTCATCTCGGTCCATAGGTTAAACATTTCCCACACGAATAAAATATATGAGCGGTACGCGATTTTTTTTTCCGTACGAAACATTTACATGGAACTCCACTCGGGCCGTCTCGACTGCAATCGACACGAAAATCTCATATTGCCGAATTAAGGAGGTCAAAAGGTCATCAATAGATAAACGTCTACAAAACAACTTCTGAGAGAACGTCGCTGTCTAATTTTTAAAAATACATTGATGTTACCATACTAATACTAATGGGTCATTTAAAATGACATATAATACGGTACTTGAAAAAATACATTGGTCTACGGTACTTGATTGTGCTGCACGAGTAATGAAAAGTGTTATTTTAACTTGAGTTACATATTGTGACAATTTTTATTTTTTAGTTAGGTCTGGGTTTTGCATAATTATCTAGGCCTACTAACTACGTTTTCTGGGGAAACAGGGAGTCTGGGGGAAAGCATGAGAGAGAGAGTAAGGAAATTAAAGCGCGTTTCTCGGGGCGTTTCTTCATTAAATGAAACAGGGTGACAGTTATTTTCAAATTATGAGAAGAGCTGAGAATAGGCAGCTCTAAAATACTGGATGCCATAAGACCTGCCAAAATGGCAGAGCACCAATGAATGTATAAATGAGGCCTACCGTAAGTGGCACTTCGACAATGGAGGAATTAGAGAACAATTAAAAAATCGACGTTAAGGATAAATAACACAAAAGATATTCCCCTTGGGCTAGTTATTAATTAGAGGCTTAGACCAAGGTAATTAATGCTGAAATTATTATTATTATTATTATTATTATTATTATTATTATTTAACATGAATTGTACATTACAAGGATAGTTTGGCTAGGTTCAATAACGCCGGAATGGTATATTTTATTTATTTAATAATATTTCTCTTATGCACTCTATTTTTTATTTTATGCTTCAATTTTTTCCATTTTTTCCCCAAAATTTTAATCAACGTCTGTATGTGAAGCGTGACTGTTGGTATCAGCCTAGGACCCTAGGGACCTACCTAGGCCTAGTAGGAGGGGCCTAGGTAGGACGAACTCAGTCTGAATAGACCTATAGTTTATCCTCTTTCTCTCTAGCCTTTGGACTGTACATACAGAACTACACTAAAAGGGGGTACTAGCTGTTGTTGTTGTTGTTGATATTATACTAACATGTAATAACATCCAAGAAAGTCACAGTTATAGTTACACACGTACATCCCATAAATCCGTAAGATATCTCAGGCCTACCGTAGGTAAACATAGAAAGAGCATTAATAGTAAAACTCGAGCGTCACGACATTGCGAAGTGTCTGCTCTTGTTCCTCGTATCAAACTCAGCCGAGTCAATCCGAGATGGCGCGAGTGAAGTTTCATGCAAATGTTTCGTACGGAAAAAAAAATCGCGAGCGGTACTGGGTAAAGACAACTTGATTTTTTGCTTTGAACAAGGTATCTATTCGTAAAAGTCTTATGAAGATAAGCCTATCCAATAGTGACATTAAAGGGTTGGGAACCAGGCTTATCTTCGACTTTATATTGAAATATGCTAAGTACAGACACAGTGTATATATAGGCCCAGTTCTAGATTCCAGAGGTAGGGGTTTTTTTTAGTAGCGGCCATTTTTTAATTCAAGATGGCTGCCAGTGTTTGCATTTATGTAATAAAAGTATCTTATGCATGGGCTGAACATTTTAAAATGGGTGTTGTCACCAAAAAGGGCTTGATCCGCATTCATAATTCGAGTTATTCAGCTTCGAAATAGTAGTTATTTGAATGATGGACGCCATCTTGAATTTGGTCCTTTAAATGTCTTCAGAAAAAATGGCAACATGTTTTTTTTTTCATTCCTTATATTATCAAGATATGAAATCAAGTCAAAATTTGCTGTTAACAAAAAATATACACGACACTCATATTCACGACATACCGGCCTACACTATAATATTTGGAAACGTGAAACGGACGGATTTTTTTTTCTGACCAATCAGTGATAAGCGTGAATGACCTCAACATAGCTGCTGAACAGCTCGAAAAATCAGCACGAGAAGATTCGATGCCGTGGGATTTGTTTTTCCTTTTTGTATTTTAGGCGCAACTTGCATCAATC